TTAGGTATTGTGATGGTACAAAGCAGCGTGAGACACGGACAGCATGCTCTTAATTTTCCAAATCAGTATAGTATCTTACAGGCTCTTAAACCCTTAGATGACCTGAAGTGCTTCGTGGGAACAAGGACCAGCATGCCCAGACGTAAACAACCTCTTGGTGGTGGTATGGGGCAGACAGAGTTCTGATACTCACCTTGTTTTATCTGCTGTTTTAATGTTTTGCTGCTCTTTTTCCTTTTGTGACACAATTAATTAAAATTATCCCATTGTTTTTTATTTCTGACTTAGAAAAGTCAAACAGTGGCTTTTCGCATCCCCTGAAGGGGAACAAGGATGTCTTCACTAACTGAACCCCAAAGAGAACTCAAAAAACATTTTGAAGTACTTGGCTTTGAATGGAACAAACATAGAAAAATCAGTTATAACGTGGGTACCCATAGTAATCACAGTCCTGGTAAAGAAATAGGCCATTGTTAACTCAAAATGGACTGTGAACCCCCTGACATTATCAACATTTTACCAGTCTCTGTATCCATCTACAGAAGGCTTTTTTTTTTTATTTTTAAAGAAAATCTTTTTATTGAAGTATACTGCATGTACAGAAAAGTGTATGCTTCATACGTGTATAGTATAACTCAATGAATTTTCACTAATAGGAACTCACTTGTGTAATCAGAACCCAGATTAAAAAATAGAAAGTTACCAGACTACCTGGGTAGCTTTTAATTGTGATTTATGGCTTACACACATATGAGAAAGAGTCCATGTTTTTATATAAACAGAAATACCATTTTCACCTGTCAGGTGGGGTTGGGGTCGATGGCGGCGTCCCCTGCTGGCTAGGACACTCTCACATGCTGTTCGTCAGAGGTTGCCGGCAGGTGGCCTGATGGTGCTTTGTGTCACTTTAGACGCTCTGTGTGTCCTTGCAGCCTGAGGTTTACAGATGATGCCCATGCTGAGGAGACGATTGTTGTCTTTAATTGGGGACTTTGAGAATAGGATACAAGGGAAGGAAGTCCTCCGTGTGATGGTGCTTGCCCTGAAGGCAGCACTCAGTCCGTCTGTGCAGCAAACCCTATGGATGGTGACACTGAGGGAACACACACGCCAAGGACCAGCATGGAGTGTGTGGTCCTATTTTGTGAAAAGCAGAAATAAACCCCTAGAGACATGCAGGTGCCCCTTGGGGAAGAAGGAGTCCCATTCTTACATTCCTGTGTTGGAATTATGCACAGGGCTGTGTTGCTTCCACTGCATGTGGAGGACAGGCGGGTGCATGTGCTGCTCCTCTGGTCCAGGCTGGGCCTCTGTGAGCTCCTGGGCGACAGTGAAACAAACAGCACAGTGGATGGTGAATGTCCAACTGTAGGAAAAGCAAGTATTGATATCTTACAGTGAGGCTGAAAGTAGTTTGGTTTTTTTGTTTTGATAAACATTCGAATGTGAGAAGTATCTGACTTAATCCTCATGGCACTCGCGGAGGGAGATGCTGTCATCTGTTCTGTGTCTGAGGGAACAAGCACAGCCAGGTAACCGCTCTGCAGGATCAGAAGCCCTCTTGCTGGTAAAAATGCTTGTTCTGACAGCCTGGCCTTCTTGGTGAACAGGGACCATCGCCTGAGGGTGGGGCTCAGGAGCTACAGAGGGGAGGAAAGGGAGGAAACTTCCTTACTCTCATCATTGTTATGTATGTTGTATTAGAAGTTAAGGCCAGGGAGGGGGAATACATGTAACTCCATGGCTGATTCATGTCAATGTATGACAAAACCCACTACAATATTGTAAACTAATTAGCCTCCAACTAATAAAAATAAATGACAAAAGAAAAGAAAAAAAAAAAGTTAAGGCCAGTGAGAGTCTTAATGCCCTTCTTTTCTAGGCCTGGAGGTGATTATTCTAATCTTAATGTTAGCAACAAAGAGACATTTGTGGGCTTACCATTTGTTCATTTATTCTTGTGGTTTGCTTATTTTAATTACATTTCTAATTATAAAATGGGACACTTTTTCACTAATTCAACAAGTGTGTACCGAGGCCCATCTCTGCATTTATCAGGGTCTCTTCTGGTCTCTGGATTATAGCGTGGAACCCTGAAGGCAAGGACTTTGTTCCAGTGGAGCTTGTATCCTATTGGGTGACAACAAGCAGAGATGGGGTAACATAGAGTCATGTGGCCAGAATGAAATGAACAAGGCAGCGAGGGGAGTGTGCAGGGCGATCAGGAAACCCTTGGATAGGTGACTGAGGGGTTGAAGGGGGCCCCTGGGTAGTGAACGAGGGGAAGAACAGACAAGAGACTGTGATGTGCGGTCTGACCCAGAGTGGGGTGGGGTCCCTGGAGCACTGAAGTGGAGGAAGGGCAGCACCCATGGGACCTCATGTGAGGAGGACCTCAAGAGAGACAGGGCTGTGCCTGAGGGCAGGAGAGTCAGAGGCTGGCTTTTTTCTGTCTTTGAACATCACATGCAGATCATAGTTTTAGAAACATCCTGGCTCCTGGCTGCAGACAGACCAGGGTGGGAACCTAAGAGAAGGGCTGAGCAGATGTCCTCGGAGTTCGGCAGCAGGTGAAAGGCGGACCTGGGGCTGCTCCTCCTCGTGATGGGGCCATCCATGCCCTGTGGGTTAGCAGCATTCCTGCCTGGCCTTCCCCATTCCAAGCCTGGGGCTTGTCTCCCAATCCTGAGCCTGTCTCAGACCCTGCCTGGTGCAGATTAAGTGGTATCTGAGTCTTTTTTGAATCTGCTCTACCATTTTTTCCCCTGTTGGGCTGATCTAAATGAGGTTTTTGCTTACTAGTGTTTTTAACTCATGAGACGACATCTCCCTTGTGGTATCACGCGTTAAGCAGCTTGTAACACTTGAGATGAGGTTGAAGTGGGCTTCTCGCTGACTCTTCAACACAAGTCGAGGCTCCAGTATGTTTGGGGACACGTGGGCTCTGTCCCCTGCTGTGGGTCCTGCCACTCGGCAGTCAGGTGCTGACAGTTCGCTTTTCTTTTTTAGGTGCACGTTCAGGTTTCCGAGCACAAACATCAAGATCACGTTCACTGCCCTGTCCAGCGAGAAGAGGGAGAAACAGGAGGCGCCCGAGTCCCCGGTGAAGCCTGTGCAGGCTCACATCTCGCCGCTGACCATCAACATTCCAGACACCATGGCCCACCTCATCAGCCCCCTCCCCTCCCCCACAGGAACCATCAGGTATACAGCAGCTCCCATAGGGCATGGGAGTCACTGTAGCGTCAGGGTGTACGTGTAGACACGACACTGTCCAAGTTTCAGTCCTTGCCTCTTTCTTTGGGACATTCAGAAGCCATCGTGCATCACAGTAGTGGGCAGCAGTGCATAGTGCCTTCCTTCCCAGGTGCTGAGCTGCATGGAGAGAGAGATGTTGAGGACACTTAAAATGTCGTTAAGTTTCTGAACACTGTTTGCTCTCGCTTTCTTGCATGTGAAACACAGTTCCCAAATGTTCCTGGTTTTCACTTGTGGATTCTTTTATTTGAGTAAGTTTAGGCATAGATGATTTGTGATATTGGTCTAAAGTGTGAGTCATGTTTTCAGTTGCATTTTGGTTTGATACCAAGAGTATCTTGGTTTGTTACAACTTAATGTGAATTCTGATCACTTACAGTTTGGATTTCTGAGTTTGACCTCAGTAAGGTGACAAACTTGTGTCTGTCCTGATGTCCCAAGAGTGTCAGGAAGTAGAGAATGGTGCCTTCAGGGCCTACTCTTCACCACAGAATCCAGTGCAAGATGGTTACATTGTGCTCAGCTTTCGGGGGCAGCAGCTGAGGGTCAGGTCAGGAATCGCCCAGGACCTGCAGATGAGACCCTGGGATAAGGCTCAGATGGTCAGTCCTCTTCTGTTCAGTCAGAAGAATGGAGTATGTATGCAGGCATCTTCTTCAGTGCGAGTAGTGTTAGACTTAGGTGCAGATGAACACACTTGCTTCTCTTGCGAGCCTAGCTCCTGCTGTCCACAGGGCCTGGCTGGGAGGCAGAGAAGACATTGTTTGCCTTGTCCACTGTGGCTAACCCCACATGTAGCTGAGTGAGGAGGGCACAGGGGGAATACTGCAGCTCTGGGTTGTAGCTTTCAGTCAGACACTTCTGTTTCTTATCTTAAAAACCAGCATGGACAGAAAGGTATCCCTCTGGAAAGGCCTCTGGAGGGAGTGTCAGGTAGACTGGCTGCTCGGCTCCGTGTGAGTGCAGCTGCTTATTGGTCAGGCCCCTTCTCTGCCCCCTGCCATTGCCGCTCTGCCGAGGATGCTGCCTCTGTCTCGCCCACTTGGTTGTATTTGTCTCTGTGTGACTAGATGGATCAGGTAGTAAGTGTGGCAGTGAGTAGGCAAAAATCAGCAGCTGCATGGCCAGATTTTTCTTCAGCATTGCATGAAAAGTGTGCAGAATTCATAGAGGAAGAGGAGAACGCCCCTGTTTACCCACATGGGATAGCGTCCCCCAGTGGGAACAGTAGACTTGGGGTCAGGCCACTGACGCACTGCCCATGAACGCTCAAGGAACCAGAGGCTGTTGGAAACTTCAGAGTTTGGATCAGCTCCTGACCCATCCTCTCCTCACCTCCTGGCATGTCTTCATCCTGTATTCCTTGCTCATCTTCACCCCATGGCCCTGCACCAGTGTTGAGCAGCACAGTGTCTCTGCTGCTGAGATGACTCCTGGGGGAACCCACCACCACCCAGCCACCTGCCCTGCGTCGGCCCTTCTGAAATGTTAGCTAGTTTTAAAGTCAGAGCGAGAGCTCATGCCTGTGGTTCTGCCGTCTGTCTTGTTCCTCTCTCTCCAGTGCTTTGAGTTCTTCCTGGCACGCAGTAAACTCTTGTTTCGAGGGTGAGTGCATGTACTGATGGTGCATTTTCTTGGTAGAGAGTCCAGTAGTGCTTCAGAGGGTACCAGGTAATAGAGTGTTGCTCCACCTTCTGGCCCATTCCTTTCTAGTTCAGTTTTCAGAGGTAACTACTGTTTCTTAAGTATTTTTTCCAGAAATTTCTTAAATGTTTTCAATACTTATTTTTTATCCAAAATACAAATGGAATCTAACCATATATACTGTTCTATAACTTACTGGATTTTTAAAACAATCTTTTCTTGGCATCTTTCCATTTCAGTAGCTTTTTCTGTTCTGTAAAGTATAATACTGTACAGAAAGGGGAGCATAAATTAAATACATAACTTGGTGAACTTACAAATAAAGTGTCTTCTAATCAGCAAAGATCAAAAATCAAAACATTCTCAGTGTCATGGGCCAGCCCTACCTCATGGAAAAAAAAAAGTACATATTTAAAAGTGGGTTTCTGCCCGGCCGAGGCTCCCGAGGTGCATCAGTCCACCAGTACATGAGTTTCTGCCGTTTCTTGGCAAAAATGGCAACCAGTGATGCTGTTCTGAAGAGATTGGAGCAGAAGGGTGCAGAAGCAGATCAAATTATTGAATATCTTAAGCAACAAGTTGCTCTTCTTAAGGAGAAAGCAATTTTGCAGGCAACTTTGAGAGAAGAGAAGAAACTTCGAGTTGAAAATGCTAAATTGAAGAAGGAAATTGAAGGATTGAAACAAGAGCTAATTAAGGCAGAAATTCAAAATGGAGTAAAACAAATACCATTTCCATCTGGTACTCCACTAAAAACTGATTCTATGGTTTCTGAAAATGAGATACAGTCTATACCAATAACCGTATCTTCTGGTGCTAAAGAGCAAGTAAAAGGAGGAGGAGGAGAAGAAGAAAAGAAGATGAAAGAGAAAACTGAAAAGAAAGGAGAGAAAAAGGAGAAAAAACAGCAACCAGTAGCAGGAAGTGCTGACTCTAAGCCTGTTGATGTTTCCCGTCTGGATCTTCGAATTGGTTGTATCATCACTGCCAGAAAACACCCTGATGCAGATTCTTTGTATGTAGAAGAAGTAGATGTTGGAGAAACAGCCCCAAGAACAGTGGTCAGTGGCCTGGTGAATCATGTTCCTCTTGAACAGATGCAAAATCGGATGGTGGTTTTACTTTGTAACCTGAAACCTGCAAAGATGAGGGGAGTAGTATCTCAGGCAATGGTGATGTGTGCAAGTTCACCAGAGAAAGTAGAAATCTTGGCACCTCCTAATGGATCTGTTCCTGGGGACAGAATTACTTTTGATGCTTTCCCTGGAGAGCCTGACAAGGAGCTGAATCCTAAGAAGAAGATTTGGGAGCAGATCCAGCCTGATCTTTACACTAATGATGTATGCGTGGCTACATACAAAGGCGCTCCCTTTGAGGTGAAAGGGAAGGGAGTGTGTAGGGCTCAAACTATGGCCAACAGTGGAATAAAATAAAACACTTCAGTTTCTGAAATACTTTAGAGAAAGCAATAAAAAGAAATACATTTGTCACTCATACCTAAAAAAAAAATAAATAAATAAAAGTGGGTTTCTGTTTCTGATTTCTGTGTGTTTCCTGTGAGCCCCTCACAGCCTACCTGCATGTGTATCTGTTTCTACCGCCTCCTTCCCTCTGTGTGTCCTGTCTTCAGCCTGGCTGCTGTTCCCTTCTCTCCAAATTTCCCTTGACCTTTCTGGCATAGCTTGGAAGCCATTGTCCTTCGTTGCTGCCTGTCCTCAACTCCTTGGTGGAGGGGGGGACAAGCAGAGTGGTGCTCTTTGCTCCTCTTCCAGGCTGAGCTCAAGAGCCGTCATGTATGGCTCTGTGTCCTTGGTAAGTTCCTAAGGCGATACGTGTGGAAGCAAATACCTGATTCCTTGGAGTGATCTTAAATTTCACAAAGATTAATGAGTCCATTTTTCCAGTGAATATGCTAAAGTTCTCTTACTTTTAAAATTTGTTTTCCTTGAAATAAGAGCCAGTTACTGAAATACAGTGTGAGGTATGTTCTATAATAGACTGATAGGAACAACCTTTTCTCATCCACAGTGCTGCGAACTCCTGTCCTTCTAGCCCCCGGGGAGCAGGGTCTTCAGGGTACAAAATGGGCCGTGTGATACCATCTGACCTCAATTTAATGGCCGACAACTCACAGCCAGAAAACGAGAAGGAAGCTTCGGGTGGAGACAGCCCAAAGGTAAATAAATGTTTTATAGCTTTGAAACAGAACCCAGGGCCTGTTGGATAGCAGCTGTCTTCACCCGCATGTCAAGGAACACCCTCCCCCCTCCAGGGCCTTTTGAGAAGTGCCCGTCTATGTGGATGCGGGATGATTGCTGAGCGTGTTCTCGGTGCTGGGCTCTCAGAGGTGCATTCTTTTGATCATTCAGCCCTGGGCCCTTCTCGGTGGCAGCTGTGGGCCCAGATGCTAAGAGCTTGAACCCTTGGTCCTCATGGGGTCAAGTGCCTGGTGTCCTAGGAGACTGTTCTTGGAGTTCAGTATTGCTGTCCCAAATGCTGAAGGTTGCACATGTGCATATCTAAACATGTGTGTACACACATATGCACACGAACACACACCTTGGGGAGGGAGGACACATCATTCCCTTTTGGATGATAATTATTGGATGACCTATAGTAGGACCCTGCCTATTTCTATTCTTTGACCCAGTAATGCCCCTTCTAGGACTTCATTTAAGGGAAATAGACAAAAATCTCAAACTAAAGTTCAAACAAAACAGAAAATTGAAAACAACGTAAGTGCCCCTAAAAGAAGGAAGGTTAATTAAGTAAGGGGATCTTACATGATGCAGATACTGACATGAAAGTGCTCTTGATAGAACGCTTAGTGATAAAAGAGAATAAAACCAGACATAGTGTTACTTTAAGTATGCATTTATATAAAATGTGGTATATTCATGTAGTAGGACACGTGACACCGTGGGAATGGATACGTCGTGGCTGTGCGCCATCTACAGCAGCCAGGAGCCTCTTGCACAGGGTGCTGGGCAGGCGCAGACACAGGGGCACTCTCTGTAGGATTCCATTCTTGTCCATTTCCTGGTTTAAAATCAGGCAAAACTAAATTGTGTTGTTTTCAGATGCATTCTTAGGTGCTAAAACTTAAGTCACAGCTGGATTCTGATTAGCACAGAATGTCAGGAAAAGTGGTGGCTTTTCTGGAAGGCTGAAAGTGGGCAGGGGGCGGGGCATGAGGAAGCTTCTGGGATGTGGGCTGTGTTCTCTCTTGACCTAGCATTGGTTGTGCTGTTGGTCATTTTGTAGAAATTTGTTTTTGGCTTATACGAATATATTGTGGGCTTTCCTGTCTGTTACAGTTGTTTGTTTTTTTTTTAATGGAAATGTATAGGAGAAAGATAAAAAAAGCAGCACACAGCAGCATAAGCACAGTGAGGAGGGCTTTATGCTTTTCCCTGGTAGGACTCCAGCTCAGTTGCTCCACCATCCCTGTCCTATAACTCAGGGTGAGCTCATTCAGAGGTCAGACAGGGCAGTGCCTAACCCAAGTGCTCAGAAAATGTCAGCTATTTGAAAGTGAGGTGCTGGGTGATTCAGTCTCTCTGTGCAGAGAACATGCTCCAGTCAGCTGTCAGGGCTAAGCTTAGCCTGTGCCAGTGAAGCCTGTGTTCCCTTCTTTGGCTCTTTACCTTCCTTCTTTGCCCATGCCACAGTTCTTTGCCTGAGTCTGCCTTTAATGTGTTTATCTCTAAACAATATCTAAAATTGTTCATTTCTTAACCTCATATAAGGGGTATCATCTTGAATGTATTGATTTGCAGTTTACTGTCCGCATTCAGCGTTATGTTTTGTTGACATGTGTAGTTCCCAGCCAGAGAGAGGTGAACCCTCTTCCCGGTGGGCTTGTGCATGTGTATGCGGTTCGGAGTCGTCTCAGTGGCAGAGCCCCGGTGTGTTTGGGTACGATGGGGCCAGGAGTGCCAGCATCCTGCACTATGCATGGCAGCCCTCCACACCTGAGCAGTGCCTGCCTGAATGCCTTGGACCCTGGTGTGGGAACCCCAAGTCTGGCTCCTGATACTCTTGTCTGCTTGGGTTTCCTTACAAGAGGAGCTCCTTGATGGACTCTTGGGGGTTCTGAGTGGACATCACTCTCCTGCTTTGGTGTTCAGCGTTCTTGCCCCATCTCCTTGTGTGCATGAGAACCCCCACCAGGGCCTGGGAGATATGCCAGCTCACCCCACCCCTTGCCACCACTGGCCTGGCCCAGCTCTTCACCTGACCGTGAGATCAACATGATGAGCCTATGGTGTGGATCAGCATGTGTGCTCTGCACTCTGCTGAGGTCCAGAAATTCTACTGAGTTTTTCTCATTTTCTTGTTCTTTCTGTTTTTGCCCTTTGGACTTTTTCCTTATGTGGTTTTAATGTTCTTTTTTATACTGTTCTGTATGTCTTCATTTGTTTCCTCCAAATTTTCCAAGTGCTTTCCCATCATATTATATCCACCCCCTCCCCCCAACCCCCCCCACACAGCCAAACTCAATCCCTGGGCAGTGACAATACAGAGTCCTAGCCACTGGACAGCCAGGGAATTCTCCCCATCATAAATTACTTTTATAGGAAGGAAGACAAGTATTATCATAGTAATGCTTAAAAATGTCAAGAATCCTGAACTTCGGTAAGTTTAGTAAAAATTTTGTTTACTTCAATACTCTTTTTTTTTTTTTTTTACCTTTAATACAGGATGACTCAAAGCCACCTTATTCCTATGCACAATTAATCGTACAAGCGATTACAATGGCTCCTGATAAACAACTCACCCTAAATGGAATTTATACGCACATCACAAAAAACTATCCCTACTACAGGACTGCAGACAAGGGCTGGCAGGTAAATCCTTTTCAGTTTGTTATTAAATGTTTCTATTACATGTCCTGAAGGTGCTGGTTGACAGCTGAGAGGGGCATGGAGTGGCTGTGTATGTAGCTGGGGCATAGGTAACATGAGATGAATGAGGGTCTCTTGTGCTGAGGGAGGAGGAGTGTCAGAGGCCTGCTGTTGCCACGCTCTTTCTAACCTCCTTGTTAGCACACAGTAGAAGGAATAGTGGTTCTGGAGGAAATTTCAGCCCTGTTTCTTACTGTCATTGTCTTCATGGATGGGAAAGGCATGGGTCGTTTGAGATGTTTCTCTTGGACCAGTGAGGGAGGGAGAGTTAAAAATCCTGCCCATCCTTTACTTTGGAGTTCTTCTGTCTTCCTCATTGACTTCTGATGACATACATAGCTTTTTTTGAAGTTTGCACAGAGATGGTTTTCAAACTGTTACTGAGGAACCCTTTCTTCAAAAGATGCCTCCTCTAGATGTCCAGTATACAAAACATAAACACAGTGCTACTCAACTGGGGAGCCTACCTACTTGTTGGCTTGTACTTACAGCCTATTTTTAGGCTGTCTGTGAATCTGGGTCTCCTCAGAGGACGTTTGGAAATTGATGCATAGTATTTCCACTGTTTAGCTTTTTAATTTAGTTTTTCAACCTCTGCATTGTATATGTTTTTCCTCCTTGTGTGTGTGTGTAGACATTTACTAGGCAGCTAGTAGAACCTCACTAATTCAGACAGTATGAGAAAGGGTAAGTTTGAAGTGTGGAACGGTAAAAGCATATCAAAAGAGAGAAGAAATATACATTTACAAATTTTGAATTCATTAAATAATCAGGAATGGCCACAGAATTCCTTTGAGTCTTAATGAGTACATGATTCTTTGACAAGTACATTTGTTGAACCATAACCACAATCAAGTAATACAGCCAGGGGGTGGGGGGTAAGCCATTTTCTGTTTAATGGAGGGTGAAGACTTTTTTCTTCCATCTGCAGATGTATAAACATGTTATGATAAAAATCCTGACTATTTCCTTTGTAAAGGGTCTTTAGTCTGTAAAGGCTACAGGTACAAAATGAGACCCAGCCTACTCCTGGGCTGGAGTGTCTGTGCCCTGCCCGCCTTCTTGTTCACAGCCGGGTGGCATTTCCTAGTTGGCCATGAAGGAGATGCTGGCTTGGGGAAAAACACTTCCGTATTCAGCTACCTGGCAGGTCCCTTAAGATGATGTACAGAATTTGTAACAGTGAGGTTGTGCTTCTAAGAAAATGTCAAACAAAGCAGAGGCAGACAACAGTCCTTGTCCATGGAATACAGCTTCCTGTGCACGGGCAGGTGAGGTCTCTCATAGTGTCCTGTCCAGGAGCTCGGTAGAGTTCCATGCAGCTCACTGTGTGTAGAATTTTGATAATTTGAAATGCCAGTGAGCTGGACTGTAATGGGAGTATTTCTGAAAAACCTGGCCAGACTTTGAACATTGTATTTCCCTTCTGGTTGTATTTCCTGTGCTTTGTAGCATCCGTTTATTCGAGAACTGATACTGTGCATCACAAGGTTTTCTTGTTAAAGGCTGAAGGGCAGCCTCTTCCTGGCCTTAGTCTCCTGGGGAGTGAGTCAGGTCAGGAGGGGCTGTGATCACAGAGAGGTGGGGCCCACTGAG